CCTGTTGATGTACCTGTGAGTTGTTTCCAGTTTGGGTCTATAATGAGTGAAGCTGCTGTGAGTATTCTTGTTTATGTCATTTGGTAGACTTATGTACTTGTTTCTCTTGGGTATATACCTAGGAGTGGAATTGCCGGGTCATGGGGTAGGGCGTATATTTAAATGTCGGAGACACTGCCAGTTTTCCAAAGTGATTGTACCAGTGTGTACTCCTTCTAGCAATGTATAAGCGTTCCAGGTGATCCACATCCTCAGCAGCACTTGGAGTTGTAGATCATGGTAGTTTTAGCCTTTCTGGTGGGTATGTAGAGGTGTTTCGTGGTAGTTTTAAGTNTTTTTTTTTTTTTGGTGGGAACTGGAGTATTTTAAATTCAATTCCAGACCTCATATCATTTTACACATAAGTACTTTACTTGGTATCTTTAGTAGATAAGGACTTTTTTAAAATCACAGTGTTTTTAAAACTAGCAAAATTGGACGTAATTCCTTAATATTCAATAAGTAGTCTGAACTACTTTCACATTTTCTCAGTGCCATTCTCTGTTCTCATTCAGAGTTTATGTAAGGTTGGTGTTACTTTTCTCTTAAAATATTTGGAAGAATTCACAGTGAAGCCATCTGAACCTGGAATTTCCTTTGTGGGAATTTCTTTTTTTTTTTTTTTTAACTTTTTTAATCGATGTATAATTTACAATAATCTTAGTATTAAGTGCTCTAATCTTTAGTGTGTAGCTCAGTGAATTTTTTCATATGTGTACACCCGTACAACCACTGCCCTGATCAGATGTAGAATATTTCCAGCACCCTAGGAGGTTCCTCGTGTTCCTTTGCTATCAATGCCACCCTCCAGAGATAATTACTGTTCTGATATCCATCACAGTAGGTTTGTTTTGGCTATTTTTCAGTGTCATACAAATGAAGTCTACAGTATTTACTCTTCTGTGGTGTCTTTTGCTCAACATAATGTCTGTGAGATTAATCTGTGTTGTGTTATCAGTAGTTTATTCCTTTTTATTGTTATGTAGTATTCTGTTCCACAAATATGCCACAGTTTATTTATATCTTCTCCTGTTGATGTACCTGTGAGTTGTTTCCAGTTTGGGTCTATAATGAGTGAAGCTGCTGTGA